GGCAGGTGGGCTGGGCCCATGGGGTGGCACCGCGGTGGCTGTGCCTGGGACTTCCTCTGCCACCCCTCCACTTCCACTTTCCAGCCTTTTCACATTGCTTCATGCCTTGGTACAAGCATTCTTTCCCCCTAAAATGCCTGCTGGCCTGCCTTCCTCCTTCCCTCTGCTTGGGGAGCCTCCCTCTGCCCTCCAGCTTGAAAGGCCCTGGCATAGATCTTTCTGAGTCTCTGCCTTCTCTGTCGCTGTGCCAATGGCTGCAGAATCCCCCCCACTGACACAGTTGTTAGTTTGATCCCATTTCTGTCTCCTCTGCTGGAATGTGGGGTCCGCTGAAGGCACAGACTATGTCCCCAGGTTCAGCACAGCACCTGGCCCATGACAAGCAGGCATCTCGGTTTCTTCTGAGACTGTCTCATCTCCGGTTTCTCTCCTCATTCCTGGGCTTTCGCTAACACTGGGGCTGCTGGGCCAGGTGACTGCTGCAGCAGAGAAGTAGAGGCCTGCAGGGCCCATCCCCCACCCAGCCCCAGCACAGGGCTGCCTAGCCCAGCTGGAATCCTGGACACCTCCCCCTCTTGAGAAGTAGAACATCTCCCACCACTACTGCTTGGCTCTTTCCTCCCACATCTGGCCCAGGCATGGTGCCAAAGCCTTCATTAGGGGTGCAGGAATTAAATGAGACATCAGAATATCAGGAATTAAACAATATCAGCATCTGCCTCCCTGGGAGACCATCTTCCCAAGAACTCAGCTTCCTATCTTTCTGTCTCAGCTTGCCTCTTCCAGGAAGCCCGCCCCACTGCTTCCTATGCCCATAATGCTGTACCACCTACACTTAGTTACAACCTTGCCTCCTTCACCTGCTCAGATACACTTTGAGGGTCAGGGCTGTGTCTATTCCCAGGTCAAGAGAGGTGTCTGGCACTTAAGTGGAGCCTGATAGATATTTGTGGAATGTAAAAGTTTTGGCGCAGTGCTCAGGAGGGGGGAGGAAATTATCACAGCCAGTGTGGGGCATCTCATTCCAGGCGGGGAAGCTGAGGCCAGAGCCCAGGGCACAGGGAATGGCAGGGTCTAACTCAGCACACCCAGTCGCACACTTGTCCCCCAGAGGCTCTGATTAGCCCACAGTCCTAAGCACAAGGACAGAGCCTCATATGCCAGTGAATCTTGGCTGCGTGGGGAAGTGGGTCAGGGCCAGGAAACAAAGGTTCCAAGATCTGGGCAGATGCCTCACATCAGGCAAAACCAGATCTCTGGGTCCCTGTGGATGGAGACCAGGGTGTGACCAGACCAAAGGAGATGGGATGGTACAAACTGCACCAGATTTGTGTCCATGCCTTCCCAGCTTGCTGGTGACTGTGGAAATGTCACTTCTCCCTGGATGCATTTCCTTGCCCACTCCAGTTCTGACCATCCAAGAACGAGGCATCTTGGTGGAGGAGAGGGTGGATTTGACTCCAGTCCAGCAGGCCTTGGCCTTGACCCTTTCAGGCCTCCTCCCCCTTCCTGTCCCGACAGTCCCGCCCCCTACTCCCAGTGATGTCACTTCGGCCACCTCATCACCAGCTTCTAACCCCCTTCCAATGTCCCTTTCTGCCCTCAGATGTGGAGGGTGGGCATGGCTCCCTCTACACTCAGGCTTTAATCTGGCACATTGTCCCGAATTCCCAAACCCGACCCCATCTAAACCATGAGCCATTTGGGAGGGGGCCCGAGAACGGAAGGGCTGGGCGAATCCTCCCGCATGAAGGCAGAATGGAGACTTTCTGCTTCTTCACCGGCACGGTCCTCGCACCACCCCTTCCCTGGGTAGTCAGGAAGCGAGTTGGGGAAACTTTCTGCGAGTCTTACAGCTCAGAAATCGTGGCAGAGATGGGTGGATGCTGCTAGGTTTGGGATGAGATAACCTGCCTCTACACAACCATGCACAACCACCCGCCCAGCAAAACACAACCAAGGAGCCACCTCTCGACCTCCAAAGATTCCTGCCAGTACTCGGGCCCCCTAACAATACCAGGGGCCCCTGGGCAGTTGCTCCCTCTGAGATGGGGTGGGCGAGCTGAATGATGCATCCCCGTCGTCTGGGGAAACAGGAAGACCTCCCCCTTCACTTTTGCAGGTCTCCGCCTGTCCGGTCCGGGTGTTCCCGGGCAGCGCCCCCTCTCTCCACGTCTCCAGTGCCTAGACGCATCATTCCTTGGAGCTGGGTGCGCCCGGTCCAGCCCGGCCCCTCCCCGGGTGATACCGCCCAACAATGGAGTAGCGGAGAGGGGTCACGGGGCGCACCGCGCTCCCCCGCCCCGTGCTCACCTTGTTCCAGGTCCTGCTGGTCGTACCACGGCTCCTCTTCCTCCGCGGAGAAGTCCTCCATCCCGGCGGCTCTCCGCATGTCCCCGCGGGCGGCGGTGGGCGGGCGTTGCTGCGCAGCGGCTCAGGGCTGG